CGTACAGTTTTGACTGAGACATACACTTTACCCGAAGCATTGTACTTTTGCCGCTAATATTGATTATGATGATCTAATTATACGAGGGCAAGTCAATAAGTTCTTAGAAAATCTGTCAGAAGGCACTTGCAGTGTCACATTATTTTTTGACAAGTAGCATCTCAGCTGATTACTGTCAAATTTTGAGCGGAATTCATCACGTGGTTTCATTTCTGTAGATGATTAAAGCGAACAATCTTTGTATTTTTTGCAAAATAGAAAAAAACAAGTTTCGTGCAGTCAGTATCATCTATATGAAAGGTTTAACGCCGAAAGAAATCAAAGCCGAGTGGGATAATGTTCATAGCACATCTGCACCAGCGTCTATATAATAATTGGTGAATTTAAATGTGGTCGTACATCCACATGTGATGCACCTCGTTCGGGACGTACAATTGAGGCTGCTACGCCAGAAATCATCGATAAAATCCACGATATTGTTTTGATTGAACGACGAGTGAAAGAGCGCGAGTTTGTTGAAGCCACAGGCATATCACATGGCACAGTGATTTCAATTTTGCACGAACAATTGTATGAAAAAGTTATCGGTAAGATGGGCCGCGTTTGCTCATTGTGGATCATAGATATTATATTTAATATTTTTTAAGAAACTGTAAGTTAACTATTATTCTAATAATTCTAGTTTTAAATATATATTAATACATCCTGCAAAAGAGCTCATATTATAGCTATGATCATTTTATTGACAATATAACTTTTTATCTGATGCATTCGCTCATTGATGAATTTTCATCACAAAAGATATTGATGCATCTACGTGTAATGGAACTGAATCCCTTAATATACGTATAACATATTAAAAAATATATATAATCAAATTAAACAAATAAATAATATATGCTTAAACAGAAATTTTACGAGCTCTTATTACAGTAAAAATGATGACAAAAAATTTACATATAATTAAATATAGTAAACTAAAATGTTATAATTATGTGTTTGTGTATACAAATTGAGATTAATGAAAATTTTAAGACTAACTTGTAATTTAAATTAATCGATTAAAGTAGATTACTAGTAGTATATAGTATAGCATATAGATAGTAACGCTTAAACAGAAATTTTATGAGCTCTTATTACAGTAATAACTAGATCATCAATGCATTATATTGGGTTATCCGGAAAGTTCGTGCCGATAACCTATATAATTTAATGAATGTATACTAAAATTTAAATCTTCTGCGTTTCAATTTTCCTTCAACATCGGCATGAACTTTCCAGACAATCCAATATCAGAAGTAAAAGTATATTGTTTCGGGCAAAAGTATATCTCGCAGCCAAAAGATTCCATGATTCTTCAGCATTTTATCAGTTATAATTAGATCATCAGTTACGAAGTCAACAAGTTTTTAAAAAACATAGTAAAACATATTTTTTTTTGATCGATTCATTTTTATTTCTCAACATAGTCTTTCAGCTCGATACACTTGATCCAACGATTTTCCAAATCATCCGAATAATATGATCTGTCCAATTCTTCAAAATAAGCCTCTGTTTCGGCGATGAGCTGCTCTCTGATGATGAATCTCTTTCCTCTCATTTTTTCAGGTTTGGAAACAGGAAATAGTCGCAGAGGGCTAAATCTGACGAATATGCTGGACGGGGAAGCAATTCGTAGTGGAATTCGGCCATCGGTGCCGGACACGTGTGAACCCGTGCATTGTCTTGATGGAAGAGCATTTTCTTCTTCGCCAAATGAGGATGTTTTTTCTTTAAAATGTTGTTGAAACGGTCCAATAAGGCTGCGTAGTAATCGCCATTGATCGTTTGCTTCGACGGAAGATAATCGATATGAATTATATCGCGTGAATTATATCCCAAAAAACTGGCCATCACATTTTGGTCGACTTTACGGTCTTCGCCTTCTTCTGGAGCTGATTCACTTGGTGAAGTTATTTTGATTGTTCCTTCGTCTCGGGTGTGAAATAATGAATCTATGTTTCGTCCACAGTAATGAATCGACGCAGAAATTCATCTGGATTACGTTGAAACATCTCCAAACATTGTTTTGAAATCGTCACACGGTCGCGCTTAATAATTTTTACAGAACATAAATTACTGCGAACAGAATGTTGGTATTAAACATTTTTAATTAATTTGTGACGTAATAAATATGTTACAGTTACAACAATATTTCTACATTTACTGGTGCAATCTCTCTACGAACGTTTCACGAGTCTGCCGATACAATTACGCACGAAAGTGATTGTAGAAAGAAATTTGATATCTGCAAAATAACTTATTCGAAAAGTGCAAATATTCTCAAATGAGAACGAAATTCTTCTCAGTTTTTTTATGTCATTGCACGAATCGCAGGAATTTTCTAGATCGGAACATCGTTTTAGACAACGGCTTGTGATTCGCGAGTCCTACGGCCTTGAAATTCCGAAATCTTTTTATATCACTTAGATTTATTCTGTCATTCGTAAAATTTTCCGATTATGCTAGCACATAATAATTTATTCATGCAACTTTTCGCATCATCGATATAGCAATCGCCTATAAGGATTGTGGAACTAAAATATCATATCAATTGCGTGATCAAGTATTTATGTGAAACATAGATAAGTAGAATTGTTATTCATTATCGCAAATAATTATTAAATATTAAATTGATCCTATTGATTATTACACTTAAGAGACAAATGAAAAAGAAAATATTCGAAAAAAATTATATTTTTCACTTTTTTAATGACTAACTATCCCTAATGATTAACTTATCCCAGCATGAATATAACTTACATAACATAGATAATGTACATTTACATATATATTATACAGTACAATAGTTATATTTGTGTTTATTGGGATTAACTTGCTTATTATTTCGAGTAATATAATTTCTTTAAAAATATCTTATTTCTTGTGAAATGTTTTGTATAATTATTATAAATACGTTTCATATCATTATATATATATATATA